CAGTGAACTTAATAAAATACAAAAAAGGAAAAAAAAAGTCTGTAACTGACTACTAACATTCCAATGGCCACATTTCCCCTTAGCATCTTCGTGATCTCATCTTATTTGCTATAATGCTGTCTTAATTTTATAAGTAAGAAACATAAAACAAGATTATATGATATAAAAACCAGGGACAGATTTTGGGGGTTTTATTTGTATGTGCATATGTGAGATGTGTCTTCTACTGTGGCTTGGATACTATTACAAGTATCAGCTGGAGTAATGTATGCTTAGGAAATGAGCAAAATAACTCAGAATGATTAAAGGACTGGGTCAAAGGGCACAGCCAGAAATAGAAACCAGGTGTTTCTCATTATTCGTGTCCTGCTCAAACTAATAGCCCAGGTAAGGCTGCTATTTCTCTACTATTGTCAGGATTCTTTAAAAGAAATGCAGTCCTGGAAGTATTTGTTTCTCTTCTTTTACTTCGTCTGCCTTCTCAGTCCTTCATGTTGGTGTGATAGAAAGTCCTATACTAGGTCTCATACAGTTGTGTTTATCAAGCAGGGTTTTTGTGCATTTTGCTGCTTCTGCTTGTTTTTTTTTTTTCCCTGCAAGCCTATAATGAGAACCTACACTGCCTCCCTCTGGAGAAGCTCAAAATATCTATACAAAGCCAAAATCGGAAGAGTCAGTCAATGATATAATTAAAAACATTAAGTTAATAGGGAAAAATATAGACACAAACAGTAGATTTGTGATTATTTTGGTGTAGGGGTTTGGGGAGCTGGTAAAGGGGGGGGATTAACAGCAAAGCCGTATGTGGTTACTTTGGTGGGAGGATAAAAATGTTCTATTTGATTGTGGTGATTGTTGCACAATTCTGTGAATACACATGCGAGAAAACAACTAAATTGTATACTTTAAGTGGTGGCTTGTGTGGAATGTGAATTATAGGTCAATAAAGCTGCTATCAAAAAAAATATATGAAGCTGTAAGTCCTGTCCCTGAACCAGCAGGGGAAGCTTACACAATAGAGGTATTACCTGCCAAGCACCCTGCTGGCTCTGGAGGTGGGTACAGGAGCAGCAACAATCTGACAATCAAAACCCATACCTATGGACTGGGAGGAGGAAAGTCAGGCTGAAAGAGAACCCGGGAGATGAAAATACAACAACCCGCAAACACATCCTGTGTGAGAGCAAAAACAGCCACCCTTGATAAAACCACCCCAGGAGGGCAGCCGGGCAGCGGGCTTTTGTCCAGGAAAGAATCAGATCATTTCAATTCGCTGGTTCCTGCTAAACTCTAAAGCTTCTATTTTGCAGTATAATTAAAATGATAACAATATCCTAGAAAGTAGACAAAGAAATTCAGAATAAATGCATCTGAACCAACAGACAAACTTAGAGGGAAAACAATAATAGGCTTTCCTTTAAAAAAAAAAAAAAAAAAAGTTTCTGCACTCCAGTCAAATTCCCTTACCTAACAACAGATCAACAGATCCACAGTGACCAGGGCACAGTAAGCCTCTCCTGGATGTTACCCAAATGCCTTATTTCAACATGATCAAAATGAAATCAATCATTCCTACACACTCCACACTAACTGGCACCACCTCCCTGAGTTGTTCCTTCCCTATATGCCCAATCTCAGCCTCTAATCCCGCAAGGCAATCTTCTTAGTCTCTACCCTCCCCTTGTCTACCCATGCTATCAAGTTGGTAGGTCTATTCCCCCCTGGGACTGCCTCATTTTGGGTCATTGTCCCCTCTCACCAGATGGCTGCAAGACCATCTTAGCAGTCTACACAACCTACTCGAAGTTTTGCCCAGCTCAAATCCATTCCTCACACATCAGCTGGATTCCTAATAAAACACGAATCCCACTGTATCACTCCCTTGCTCACTCTTCTTTAATGACTTCTCCCTGTTGCTACCAGGTTAAAATGCAAAATACTTAGCAAGTCAAACGAGACCCTCTGTGATCTGGACCACTCAGAAATTCCAGAGCTTCTCTTTCCAAAGGACTGGGTTTTCTCTTGCCAACTCTACTGAGGAGGAAAGCCTAACTGCCTTGCAGTCAGGCAGTAAAACATAAATACATAAATCCAAATCATCCTCCATCCTTCACAGAATGGCATGTATCCTAGCATACTCCCAGAAACTAATCTTCATCTTCCACGGTGCTTCCAAACTACCATTTAGCAAAAACTTACTCATATTCACCTTAAACTGAATACAGAATAGACTTCTTCCTCTTCATGAAATGTTCCTAGGGCTCTGCCTCCAGCTGTCATAAGATACAAAGCAAGCAAGTACCACCAGTGAGTGTGTCACATGAGCAGTTCCACAGACGCCCCTTGTACACAGAGCACACGCAGGCTGAGGTCCTCATTCCGTCTTTTTTGGTGCACCCACAAACTGCGCCCCACCCCGCACTCCCACCACCACGTCACCAGAAGATTTATTTTATAATTTCAGACACTCTTGTTTGTACATTCATTTTCTTCAACAGACATCTTTCCATTCCCAGACGTGCCATTCATTGTAACTATCTGTTCATTCACACAAATGGAGGCGTCATTAATACAAAAAGTCATGGGATAACTTAAATTCTCTTGTCTCAGAAATACGCAGCAAAAGGTACTAACACGTCTCTAACTGCATCTGCCTATAAGGTGCCAAACATTAAGCCATAGGATTTTTTAATAAGATGAGGAGAGTGTTTTAAAATTAAGATCCTTGGGGCGCCTGGGTGGCTCAGTGGGTTAAAGCCTCTGTCTTCGGCTCAGGTCATGATCCCAGGGTCCTGGGATCGAGCCCCGCATCGGGCTCTCTGCTCAGCAGGAAGCCTGCTTCTCCCTCTCTCTCTCTCTGCCTGCCTCTCTGCCTACTTGTGATCTCTGTCAAATAAATAAATAAAATCTTTAAAAATAATAATAATAAAATAAAATAAAACTAAGATCCTTTTTTAAAAGGAGCAAGGCAGTGAAAAATCATGCAAATTACCATAACAGGAAATATCCTAAACAAAAGCAAATGCATGTGTTTATCTTTAGACAAACTGAAATAGGCTCTTAATAAATGACTTCTTTAATACTTCTTATGAGCCACAACATTAAATTTCAGCAACTATTTTTGAGAGGCATTTACCATGCATGTCATAACGTGCTTTATTATTTTAGTCAGTAACCTTTCTTTGTGGTGCTGGTTGCCATAAGACAAGGAATCTTGTGCTAGTTATTTTTATTTAGAAAGATTTTAAACATCTTCATTTACATTTATTTCTACAGTTTTGCTACTCACTAAACATTGCAAAGAATTTTGGCTATGGCAAGGATATATGCCAAGATAAAATGTGCCAGAAGACATTATTAAACCCTAAAACAAGTCTGCATTTTGCTGATGCTCACATCCAGGTTCATTCCACACCTCCTTCGCTCATTGTCTAAAAACTGTTGCCTCCTCAAATGCACAGCCTGGGTATCTTCTGAGTTTAACACCATTATGTAAAGTTAAGCATCTGTGAGCATTTATAGGTCAGGCTTCCAGTTGTTTAAATCATAAAAAATAATACATTCTAGCATTGGCCCACATTTAGAGCCCTCTCTAACCCCCTGAAAATGAGACGATAGCTAAATATTTCTTCAGATAACATAGACAGTGCCCTCCCGAGATTCTAGATGATGAGACAAAAGCACATATTTAACCTCCATATTTGCTGGGTCACCCTCATTACCAAGTCACAAATATATTATGCAATGAATAAGAAGTAAGAAGTAATGTAAGTAAACACAGATTTTCACTAAATTAATCTCGAGGACTCCACCATAAAACACCCTAAATAGCCCGGATACATGGGAACACGTTACAAATAAGTCTCTTCTCAAAAGGTCCTTTAAAAAAATTTTTTTGGTATTTTTTAGTGAAAACAGTTTTAAACTTAAAAATAATTCATAAGAATAGGAGTAGTTCTAAGAAAGCTACTACACCCTCTATCCAGATCTACATACTTGTGAACACTCTGAGTTTCAAGAGAAGAGAATTCCAAGAAAGGACTCAAAAAGGTCATCACACTGAATTTCATAATGGCGAAGTTAGGGTCCATGGGCAACAGTCAGTATCTACCCAGAATCACATCACATAGGCAACAGTGCAGAGTAACGTAATCTCTGCCCTTGAGGAGTCATGTGATTGGCTGGAACAGGAGAAGACATGACATTTGGTCATGAGCTCAAAGGCATTTCAGAAATAATAACAGTCAAAATGATGTGTGAATGACATGGCAAATAGAAGTAAGTAGACATGAAACTGTGGTAGACAAGGGAACTGTGCTATTAAAATCAGTTTTAAAACCAAGTTCTAAAGGATAAGGTCTGTGACTGGCAAGACTAGGTCATTCTGCACAAAGATGGTAACTTTAAGGGCACTAAAGCAGTTGTCCTTGGGGACAGGGCAAGAGGACAGTCATGCTACGTGCGATTCCTCATACATTTTTGTAGAGGAAAGGTTTTGTGTTAGCACATTTCGCAGAGCAGAAAAATCTGAATCTCAGACTGCATGTACAATCACAGCTATCGAGCTAAAGACATAAAAGTAATACCTCCAAGCCCAATGTTTTTAGTTGTAAATTAAGCCACAGAGCCTTTGCAGCTTTTATACTAAGTATGTTATAATAAATGGAGAAAGGAACAACTCATATTAAGAGGAAATGCCCTTATAATTTAGGATTCAATAAGGCTGTGTCACAGGGCTTAAAATGACAAAAACAGAACAGCTATGAGCCTGTAAGTCTAAATAAACAATTATTATTTCCATAAAACAAGGTGTTTTTCCACTCTAAGTAAAATATTTTAGAGATCTTATTTCCAGAAACCAATGCTTCACAGGAGAGCATGGATCTCATAACCAAATGAGGTAACAACCTCACCCTTGAACGGTAATCAATTTGCATGTCGCTGCATCAGAAGAGCACCGTGGAACTAAAAATGCTGGGTGCGGGGCCCCGCGCACTTGCCTGCAGCTGCTGTGTGAGCTCCCTGGCCAGCACAGTGTCCTGAAGAGCATTCTCCCGCTGAGAGGCGTCCGCAAGCACGTTAACTGTGGTTTCCGCTTCTTGTATCCACTTTAGGAAGTTCTCCAGATCCTGGCGAGAGGCCTGCACTGTCCTCAACTCCGCTTCCAAGGCACTCTGTCTGTCAGCAATGCTGCAAGAAACAACACGTCTCTATTACTTACTGTGGGACAGTCCACATCATGCACACCAACAATCAAACAGCCAGCCTCCAAGGAGCCTTTATCAATTTAAGGACCTAATGTAACTGGGACATTGATTTGTGTATGTGTCTTGAATAATCCTTAATGTGAAAGGTGAAAAGAGACATATAAATATTAACAAAATCACATCCAAATCATAAAATAATTATGACTCCATTTTTGCAACACCTAATTGTATATTAAGTTATCCCCCAATGTTTTATTTCAATATCTTCATATAGTGCCTCACACTCAGAGGAAATATCACTAAATATTCATGCAATGAATAAGTAAATGAATTCTAGGAAGCAGTAAAATCAGAAGAAATACTTAAGATAAAATGAAAATAATTTAAAGGGCTTACTTTACGTATTTTAAAACAACTCAGATCAATACAAATTTATTCTTTAAGCTGATTTAATAATATATCTGAAAAACACTGGATGATCAAGCTTTTATAAAACCTTCATTAACTCTACATCAAAATTAACACATAGAAATATGGAGTTGCATGATTTAAGAGATACACATACATGTAAATTTCAAATTTTAAAACTTTATAGACCTCAAAGCTTCAAAAGAAGAAAACAAACAATTTAGGTGCACCTGGGTGACTCGGTCAGTTAGGCATCTGACTTGGTATCGGCTCAGGTCATGATCTCAGTGTCATGAGACTGAGTCCCATATAGGGCTCTGCGCTGGGCATGGAGCCTAGTTAAGATTCTCTCTCTCCCCCTATATCCCTCCCTGTGTCACTCTCTCTCTCTCCTTCTCTTAAAACAACAATAACAACAAAAATTAAAAATGGAGACTAGGGGTGCCTGGGTGGCTCAGTTGGTTGGGCGACTGCCTTCGGCTCAGGTCACGATCCCGGACTTCCAGGATCGAGTCCCGCATCAGGCTCCCACCTCTTTGGGGACTCTGCTTCTCCCTCTGACCTTCTCCTCTCTCATGCTCTCTCTCACTCATTCTCTCTCAAATAAATAAAATCTTTAAAAAAGAAAAAAAAAATGGAGACTAACAATTCACCCTAAGGTGTTTAAACCCAAGGGAATTGAAAACATGTATCTACACAAAAACTTGTATACAAGTTTTCAGATAGCATCATTTATTATAGCCAAATAATACAATCAACCCAAATGTCCACTGATAAAGAAATGGATAGATAAAATACAGTATAGCCATACATGAATTACTCAACCATAAAAAGGAATAAAGTACTAATACTTGTCGTAACATTTATGAACCTTGAAAACATGCTAAGTGAGAGAAACAAGACACAAAAGGCCACATATTGTGTGAATCCATTCATATTTATATGAAGTGTCCAAAAGAGGTAAATCTATACAGAGAAAAAAGAGATTAGTTGTTACCTAGGACTGGAGTGGAAGGCAATGGGGACTGACTGATAATTGGGTAATTGGTTTCTTTTGGGGACGATACAATGTTCTGAAATTAAGAATATTGTGATGATTGCACTACATGGTGAATATACTAAAAACCTCTGAGTTGTACACTTAAAAAGGGTTAATTTCATGGTATATGAACTATATCACAATGAAAAGTCAGCATGTGTAATATGATTTCATTTATATATATTTATATATATTTTCTATTTCACCCATTCATCTATCTGTACATCACACATCCATCCACCTGTCTTATATACAGGACTATCTGTGTATATATATAGATAAAAGGACAAATGTCTGGAATGTTAATATTAAAAGTTATTTCTAGGTACTGGGAGTTAAGGTGGTTTACTTTCCAATTGTACTTTTTCTGTATTCTTTGAATTTATAATGAACACATATCTTCTACATACAACAACAAACACATTCTTTAAGTAGGTAAAATATTTAAACACAGATCATCATAGAAGATATATGGATGGCAAATAAGCACATGAAAAGATACTCCGCATCATTAATCATCAGAGAAATGTACATTCAAACCACAATGAGACATCACTCCATATTAGAATGGCTTTAAGAAAATGACTATACCAAGTGCTGTTGAGAATACAGAGTAATTGCCACTCTCATACATTTGCAAGAGGGAGTGTAAAACGGTACTGCCACTAAGAACCAGTTTGGAAGATTTTTTTTATAAAGTTAACCATGTACTCAAGAACAATCCGGCAATCCTACTCCTCAGTATTTACTCAAAAGAAATGAAAACATAACTCACAAAAATCCATACGAAAATCTTTATTCATAATGGTCCCAAACAGGTAATAACCCAGATGTCATCAAGCAGTAAACAGACCAGCTGAGGTATGCACTGTCTACGATGGAGTGTTACTCAGCAGTCAACTGCTGACAGATGCAACAACACGGAAGGAATCTCAAATGCGTTCTGCTAAGTGAAAAAAAGCCAGACACGAAAGCTATCTGTTTCTGTTCATAAGCCAGCAACTTCACCTGAGCCTTTAGCTACTAAAAAACCTCCAATAGGGTTTGGCTGACTACGGAATAAACCCAAATTGCTTTTCCTGAATCTCAATGTCTTCCATAATCTATCACTAGTTCACTTTTCTAGCCTATCCCCCAGTTCTGTCCAATACTCTGTTCAGGTCATCATGATACGTTCCTTTTTCTCTGGGATATTCTTAAGGCTGAACCCACCCAAAAACTTCATGTACACATAAAAATGCCCTTCTGGGGCATCTGGGTGGCTCAGTGGGTTAAGCCTCTGCCTTCGGCTCAGGTCATGATCTCAGGGTCCTGAGATCGAGCCCCGCATCGGGCTCTCTGCTCAGCAGGGAGCCTGCTTCCCTCTCTCTCTCTCTGCCTGTCTCTCTGCCTATTTGTGATGTCTCTATGTGTCAAATAAATAAATAATATCTTTAAAAAAAAATGCCCTTCTGGCCACCTCCACTTACCAAAATCCTACAGATCCTTAGAGTTAAGGTCTACCTTCTTTAGAACATCCCAGCCCAATTAGATTTCCTTTCTCTGAGTTCATAAAAGGTCATTACTCCTCTTTATATAGAAATTAATCACATGTTCCCTAGAATAGCCCTTGGATTGTTACATGCTTAAATTTTATTTTGACGGTATTATATGGGTTTGTTTTCTGTTCTTCTCTTCCACAGACTCACTATGGCAGAAGCAGTCTTACATATCTCCATATTTCAGAGTCCTTATTACAGTTTTATAATAAGTATTTACAGAATAACGACAATCTATTTAAAAATGTCTTTAAACTTACCTCCCAAATACCAGTTTTCAAGAAGCTACTAAGAGATGACCTCCACAAAAATCAGTTTGTAAATCAAGGAACAAAAAAAAAGATAGGAGAAGCATAAAAACAAGAGATCCAAGAGAGGGAGAAGCAAACAGGTCCCATGCTAATGGTGAAAAGAGATCTCAGAAGAGACAGTAATGATTTGAACCAGATGAGGACTGTCATCACCGTTCAACTGCTACATTTTCTTATTTTAACTTCACAAAACTCATGAAGGATACACTATGAAAAAAACAAGGAAATAACCCAAAAGAGCAAAGAAAAACAAATAAAAACAAACACACACACATGAAATCCAGGAAACAGGGATTCTAAAAGGAGAAAAAGCACAGGAGAAAAGCACAAATATCCTTAAGATATGTCTACAGTATGTCTACATATGTAAATGTATGTCTACAGAAGAACTGTGTCTAAGAAAAAATATTAGAAGTGATAGACTGCTTACTGTGATTGCTTTGTGGTAAATTATACCATCAGAACTTTGGCAAATGTGAGAATTAGTAACAGGTGCAAAGAAACCCAAGCACATAAAGCACATAAAAGCAAGGCAATTGCTAACTTCAGGTGAAAAAACAGAGAGGAAGCAAAATTATAGTAAACTTCAGTGCTTGGCTGGTAATGATGTTTAGACACACATAACAATGTCAATACTGAATACCTGTTTATCTAAAAATTCAGCAATAAGATGGTATAGCCACTGTAGAAAACAGTCTAGTGATTCCTCAAAATATTAAAAATAGAATTAACATATGATCTACCATTCCACTTTTGAGCACACATCCAAAAAAAACCTGAAAACGGGGTCTTGAAATGGTATTTGTATACCCACGTTCATAGCAGCATTATTCACAATAGGTAAAATGTGGAAGCAAACCAAGTGTGCATCAACAGATGTATGGATTAGAAATGTAATACATACATACAGTGGAGTATTATTCAGACTTAAAAAAGGAAAGAAATTCTGACATCTGCTGCAACATGGATGAACCTTGAGCACATTATACCAAGTGAAATAAGCTAGTTACAAAGATACAAATACTGTATGATTCCACTTACATGAGGTACTTAGAGTAGTCAAATTCATAAAGACAGAGAGTAGAATGGTGGTTGCCAGGGGTGGGGAAAAGAAAGAATAGGGAGTTATCATCTAATGAGCACAAAGTTTTCATTCTGCAAGATGAAAAGCATTACAGGGATGGACGGTGGTGATGATAGCACAACAACATGAATATTTAATGCCAGTGAATTGTATACTTAAAAATAGTGGAGATGGTAAATTTTTTGTTATGTGTATTTTACCATAACAAAAAAAAGTTTAAAAAAAGTGAAAAAAAATTCAATGATGAGGAAGGAAAGAAAATGGTAGCATGAGAAAGCTGTATGTTTACCAGAACAGGATATCCATAGACAATGTCTAATACTGATGTTTTGGAAGATAACAGTATTCTCATTTTATGTAGAATATGGAAATGTATAAATGACATAAGGAGAAGCCAAAAGAAGAAAAAGTAGTTGCCCCTAGGGATGGAGACTGTGGTGAGTAGTGAGAGAACCAGTATATTCTGTAATAAACCTTTAAGTACTTCAAATTTTTTTAATCATATATAAGTAGTTCTTTACTTTCTAAAATCTAGAAGTTACCCACTAGAATTTGGGTGGTTAGTGGTGGGGGCCGGTGTTTTATCTTCCACCTAACCCCACC